TGCTGGTTTTATATACAATGTGAAATATTTTCATCAAACTGGTTAACATAGCCTTCATGGCATTTTCTTAGTTATTGTGTTTAGACATTTATATTGTACCCCTAGTAAATTTCACATGTACCCTTGTAGATGCACCGTAGGTGTGGTCCCACCAATTACCCTCCCCCACCCCCATCCCCTCCAACTCCCTTTTCCATAGTAGGGCTGAGTACATTGGATACTTTTTCTTCCATTCTTGAGATACTTTGCTAAGAAGAATATGTCCCAGCTCCATCCATGTAAACATGTAAGACATAAAGTCTCCATCTTTCTTTAAGGCTGCATAATATTCACGGTGTACATATACCACAATTTATTGATCTATTCATTGATTGATGGGCACTTGGGCTTCTTCTATGACTTAGCGATTATGAATTGGGCAGCAATAAACATTCTGGTACAAATATCTTTCTTATAAAGTGATTTTTGGTCTTCTAGATATATACCTAGTAGAGGAATTGTAGGATCAAGTGGCAGGTCTGTTTCTGGATCTCTAAGTGATCTCCAAACATCTTTCCAAAAGGAACATATTTGTTTGCATTCCCACCAGCAGTGTATAAGTGTTCCCTTTTCTCCACATCCAAGCCAGCATCTCTGGTTTTGGGATTTTGTGATATGGGCTAATCTCACTGGAGGTTAGATGGTATCTCAAAGTAGTTTTGATTTGCATTTCTCTGATAATTAAGGATGATGAGCATTTTTTCATGTGTCTGTCTGTAGGCCATGTGCCTGTCTTCTTCAGAGATGTTTCTGTTCAAGTCCCTTGCCCACCCTGAGATGGGATCACTTGTTCTTTTCTTTCATTTTTTTGGAAAGACAGAGTTTCACTTTAATTCCCTCGGTAGAGTACTGTGGCATCACAGCTTACAGCAACCTCCAACTCCTGGGTTTAGGCAATTCTCTTGCCTCAGCCTCATGAGTATCTGGGAACATAGGCACCTGCCACAATGCCTGGCTTTTTTTTTGTTGCAGTTTGGCTGGGGCTGGGTTTGACCCGCCACCCTCCGTATATCGGGCCAACACCCTACCCACTGAGCCACAGGCACCGCCCCACTTGTTCTTTTCTTGTTATGAGTTCTCTGTCGATTCTGCTTATTAAACCTTTGTCAGAGACATAACCTGCAAATATCTTTTCCGATTCTGAGGGCTATCTGCTTGCTTTAGCACTTTTCTTTTTAATTCAACTCATCCATGATGAATTCCTATGCCATCATTTAAAAGTGCTTTTATTCTATTTCAAGATAAAAATGTTCATTTTATTTTATTTTTTTTGAGACACAATCTCACTATGTTGCCCTCTGTAGCACAGCTCAGAGCAACCTCAAACTCTTGGTCTTAAGTGATTCTCTTGCCTCAGCTCCCGAGTAGCTGGGACCACAGGTACCCGTCACAAGGCCCAGCCATCTTCTCGGTACAGTTGTCATTGTCGTTTATCTGGGACTGGGCCGGGCTCAAACCTGCTAGCCTTGGTGCATGTGGCTGGCACCATAACCACTGTGCTATAGCCGCCAGGCCTTCATTTGATATTTTTATGTATTGTTGGCTATTTAGTTGATAGAATAACCTGGTCTCTCTTTTTATTTTTTTCTTAAACAGACTCAGCTAGTGATTTTCATTTACAATCATGGATGAATAATAAAGAAGACAAGGTAAAGCTTTTTTTCTTTCCCCAAGCCAAACTGTATCTAGCTTTATTAAAGATACTTTTCATAAACAATCATGGTATTTCAGGCAGGACATGGGCAGACTATCGTTAACAGTATACAACAACTTTCAAACTCTCTTCTTCAGTGTTCTACCCAAAATCAGAAAGCTGCTGTAAAACCCAGTGAAGCCTTTTCTCCTTTAGTTTTGCATGTTTTTTGATGTGCCAAGTCACTACTTGTTAGCAAGTTACTACTTAGTGTTTTTTAATCACTGGTGGTTATTTTAAATACTCAGAACATGTGATTTCCTTATAAAATATTTATCTAAGGATGGTTGAGGCAGGGTAATTTAATCAAGAAATTAAGAAAATTTTTCGAAGTGAGAGTTTACTAGTAATTATTTTAAGTCTATTTACTAAAAACCTTCAGCAACCCAAACATATATTTTACTAATTGTTGCCCAA